CATCAACTCACTGAAGGCAATGGTGACGGTGGCGCAATATCATGGATTGGTTGAATTTAGGCATAAACACCGTTGCATGCCGTCTCAATGGCCTAATGGTTCAGTTCAGATGGTGCAAACACTTATTTCATCAGATTTTCAATAAATGAATTCCAATATACTTGTCTTTGTTCCTATTATCTTATCAAAAGAATAATAATAGAAAAGAGAACATTATACAAACAACTGGCATAGCTTGATGCAACATATCCAGTATTGAAGTAACGTGAGAGATTGTGTTAGCCATTCACACAACACCGCATTAGTACATACAGTTTGGATTTACATTTATATTCAATTCAAAAACAAATTTAAAATATGAGGGTTTACTTTAATAATTGCACAGTTCAACAATTAATCAATCAATCATATATTCATGTTCTATTCACTATTGACTTTGATTTCAGTAGTAAATCAGTAGTATTATTGATTTTTCTGATACAATGAGTGTTATTGTTTCTTTTTCTTTAAACAAATAATTGATATTTTTAATAGTTGAGATCTTGAGACAATTAAAGCTAGACCACATTGGAAAACCTGGAAGCACTGAAAGGCCATTTCGTCCTACTATGAGACTCCTTAACAGTACGCATTCACGACCCCGCCTCGTGAGATTCGAACTCGGGATCTATCGGTTTCACACCCATACGCTTAACCTCTAGATCACTGAGCCGGCATCCACTGATAATTTAAAATAAACATCGAACTGACGATTTTTTTATTCAATCAGTAATCAATCAATGCGAGAGTGTCTGCTCAAACCTTCGTCTGGCAAACACCTATGCTTCTCCAAACTAATATCAATCTGAGACGAATTCGACCTACAAATAAACCTATCTTTCTAAAACTTATTCAGTTGTATAACAGTTAGAATTTATTATGAAAAAAATAGGTTTATCACTCTGTATTTATTGATCAAGTTGAAAATGCTTAATATCAATTGCCTCAGAAAGAAGGAATTAGAACAAAAGATTTCGTTATTTGTAAACTATTTGGAATAACTTAGCAACATAACTCTTTCATACCCGACACGGTTGAACTGCACTCACATCGAATTTTCACTACAACTTATACAAATTCCTTTCGAACTTGATCTTGATAACTGAAGGTGCTTTGGTTGGATTCCCGCTGAGATTGTTAGTACGCACTGCTGAGGAATCTCATTCTAGCATGATGAATTTGTACAATGAATCTTATGTTTTAACAATATTCCCTAAATCGATGTTAATTCGTGATAAATACCAAGAATAAACAAAATTATCGTTTCTCTTTCAATGTAACAATCATTTTACCTGAAACAATTATGTATTTCTGTAATTTAAGTATTATAGCAAATTAATCATTGCAAATTACATGTATCATTATTATGATAGTTATTTTCACTGAGTATTTCTTACTTGTCTATACATATCTAGTTTCAATCACCCTCACTCTCTCTCTCTCTCTTCTAACTCACTTGGCAATTATGATATTTATTTACAAGATATATATTGGTCTGTACATAAATATATATGGAGGGGGGCTGATATGTGCATGATATACAATGAGAATTGACTAATAATTCTACTTAACAAACAATAAAAAAGGAGCTAATTACATTTTATTTCACAATTATTTTTGTAGTATAAATAAATAGACAAATAAAACAAGTACGCGTTCAAAGTCCAAATTTATAAATGATTGTGTATTTAAAACAAGACAATGATATTTCGAAAAACAAAAAAATATATTTAGATTATGAACTGATTTAAATTAGATAGACATTGAAAATCTAATATCATTGAGTGCCCGTTTTGTTTCACTAGAAAACTTCTCAGCAGTGAGAATCCACAGTATCCTTGAAACCTGGAATTTTAATTGTACATCACTGATTCAGAATCGAACTAACTTTAAAATCACTGAATGCTGGATCAATCATTAAGATATTCCATTCTAGATTGCGTGGTCATGGATACGAATTGCTAAGGAGTCCATCACTAGGACGTAATGGACAATGCGATTCTTCATAACCCTATCACTAATGGTGATCGTTTAATTAATGTTTAAAAAACTGAGTTAACTGGAATTTCGTAACATATAACAAAATAAACTTCATCCCAAAATAAATATACGATCTGTAGAGTAAATATATGAACTAGGAAAAAGGCTTATCAATACATTTCTGGTGTAATTTAGAGAAAAAATGCTCTCGGGAAATCCATGAAACACTGACGCGTTATATATAGAGGCGATGAACTAAAACAAACCAGCTCATTACAGGTGGAATAAGCGTTTTAATGAGAGCCGTGAAGAATACAATAGCCTTTCGATACCAAAACCACGGTCAACCTCTTATTTTGATAATAGCAAAGTTGCGTTCAGTTTTTTGTAGTTTCACACTAATTAGTAATAAACTAAAAATTTAGTATAAACGTCCTGCTGTCTTTGATCTGCGATTCATTTACCAGAAGCAACTATATGGAAATAATAAAACAACGATGGCAGAGTTAAAGGATCATTCTTCAGCGACACACCGACTTCGTGCCGAATGGAGTTGTCTGAGATTGTATGAGGACACGTTATTTATGGTTAGTGAGTCAAGACGGCCACTGTTGATAGTACCATGTATACAAGTTCAGAGTATTACGGAGCATGTGTACCGAGATCTCGGGCACTCGGGGAAACAGAGGACTGAACATGCGATTTACCAGAGGTTTTGGTGGCCATCCATCCATGAAGACAGCAGAATTCTGCAAAAATTGTAGCATGTGCTATGCCGTCAACTATCCTCAACAAATACTTCGTGCCCCGGTAGTTCCAATGACGACATATGGTCCACATCAACGAGCTGGTATCGATATTATGGGTCCACTTACAACGTCGAAGAACAGAAACCGCTATATACTGGTGGTGTTAGAGTATTTTAGCAAATGGTGTGAAGCCGTTCCTATACCACAACAAGATGCCCTCAAGGTCGCTCGAGCTTTTTATTGACTATTGGGTCTCCCGTTATGGCGCTCCAGTCTCACTCCATTTTTACACGAAAAGATTCTAGAATGTTCTTTAAGTATCAACTATTGCTGATTGAACAAGAATTAACCAAAGCGATCATGCATTCAGTATTCTTTAATCCAGTCTATGTCCCGCAAACACCTACAGGTGTAATCCACAATACAGTGGATCAACGTTAGGAGATGCAGTCACATTGTAGACAGTGACCAACAACAGGTTCATACAGCTATAGATCTTCGTCTGCCAATAATCAAAATTCCATCATAGAATGTATGACTATTCATGATAGTAGTGAATATAATCATGGCATAGCTTGATTAAACATAAATAAAGAGTTCTTTCTACTGCCCTACAAAAATTACACCATCATAATTCTATGAAAAGAACAAAAAACACATTGAGCATTAAACAACTGATCACGATACAATTCAATTCACTGTGGTGTGTGCTACTTACACCTAAGTAAGTAGTATAAGTCAGTCAGTCAGCTACAATGTAGGACCAGGCACATATGTGCATCGGTCCAAGTTGCCACACTTCATTAGCACAACACGATGAACACCGGATTCATAGAAGTAGTTAACTCATTGGTGATAATATATCAAAGAAAGATTGTACACGAGAATAAAGTACAGGAAGAAAGAATTAGTCCACGGAAAAAAAGATATCAAGCGATTTTAAAACGCCAGTCAGGAATAGAATGTCTGGTAGCAGAAGGTCTAGAAAATCGAAAAAGGAGAAAACGGGGATAGAAAGTAATTGGTATGAAAATGCAGCACCAATGACATCTGAGACATTTCATTAACATTTTTTAAATGAAGTATTCATGGTAAGATTCTCCGATTTTACTAAATTATTCTGTTAGGTTATATTAAAATACATTCGAACGTCCCCACTTGTGTCCTCGTTCACTACATTACAACTGAAATAATTGTGAGATAAATAACATAGTCTTTTTGAAATCAAGTCATATGTCACACTGATTGGAAGTAGAAACCTTGATAATGGAAGACTAAGAAACTCGACAATACAAGTGGAAATAGAAAGGGATTGTAAACTGGAACAACCATACAGAATGTGGAATACAAATGATGTTGTTAATGTATAGTTTTTATTCTTTACCAAGATACTCAGTGGGTTTTTTTAATAAAAAAACCCTGGTGATCTCCACCTGTGTTTTTGTTAATTACAGAATTATATTGAATACTGGTGGAAGTTGAAATTATAGCAATGAGTGCTGAAACTAGTAGTTCCAGCGGATAAGTATTAATCAACATAAAGATGTACATACTTGAGAATCTCAACAATAAGATAAAACAACTAGACGTAACCCCCTAATTTTCACTAATATATTTAATTAAAACTTATATGTGATGTATGCAATTTACAAGTTAAACGAATTCCTACGTTATCTTTCAACTACATAGATTGTTTCTCAAGAATTAGATCCAAATCAATCAAAAGGTGGATTATCTCCATTTTGGATTCTAACCAGCGTATCAGTATCATTGAATTAAACACGCTGAAACATGAATCCTAAATGACCAAAAGTCAAAAATACACTAAAATATTCTGTAAATACGATTGAAGTAAAAATAAACTTCCAACAGTGTTTTCTTTTTCTTTTTGGTTGTTTCAAATGTTCACTTAGTCTATTCAACAATTATGAAATGTTTAATCAAAATTTAGCTTAGAGAATATTCTTTATTTTGTTGATATTGTTTCATTTGTGATTTGATTCTTCTGTATTTTATTTTCTGTTAGGGATCAAATGAACAAGTTGACAATGTGATCAATTCAGTCATTTCTAATCATATTTTAATAAATCAATATTGTATTACTATTCAGTTGAATAATTTTATGATAAAGATATTGACTTACACGTTAAACTAGCTTCTGGTAATCGCTTTTTTTAGTATCCATTTACGTTCGTGATGATCACAATTTAGTGTTATATATCTTCTACGCTGTTACCACCATGGATCGAGAATATTTTTATTATTAAGTGATGATCTATTACCTGTTGACGAAAACGACAGGGATGATTGTGATGGATTGATTTCATCTAGGTCTGTATCCATCGGCTCTAACCAACGATCAGATGGACAGAATTCTTCAGCATAAGCGAAGGTATAAGAGGTTTGCTGATTTATGCGGAACCGATAGTCAACCACACCATTAGCACTTGCTGGATTTATTGTTTCACATAACAGAGCTATAAAAGAAATCGATAAAAAAGAAATAATTATACATGTTAAAATGAATTTTAAAATTTCAAAATGTTTCTTAACTAGTTTCTGGACAACGTGAGATACTGTTATAATTCCTTTTATCACGAACCAGCTACTCCAATCACCTGGTATTCTTGAAAACTATTTTACTCGACAGGCCCCCAAATTAGAACATGGTTGAATAAGAACGTAATTATATTCCAAAAAAGTGTTGCATGGAAGAAGGGTATCATAATAAGAAAAACGTTAGTATATTTATAAACTCTATATGAGAAGATCCTAGTCTTCTCCAAGTCTCCGAATGCGTTGGTTGTCTAGGAAATGGCCATTCAGGGTGCTTTAACTTTAACCTAAACGGAACATGCTTTGATCCAATATATATCCCGCTAACAAATATCTACTACGGTCGTGAACATGATTTAGAAAGAATCTTAACTAAACTATGCTTAAAACTATTTTCTCCACCAAAGTATTTTAATAAAGATGGATAGTGTTTAACAATGAAATCCAAGAAGAGTATTTCGTCTTATTCGAGGTTCGTCAGTTGAATGTATACGAGACATTCTAATATTCATGTTCACACCGTTCACTTCAAACGCCCAACGAATTAACTCTGATGAGCTACAGAGGTCAGATATCCGCTTACATGTACTATGGTTAAACATTTTATTGAAAAGGGTTTGTACCTTCTCATTGTTAAAACGAGTATCATGAATTCCGCCTATAAATACCACCGAACTTTGCGAAAACAATTGTGGGTGAATAAAAATATAAAGTGTGAACCAACACACTAAAAACTAATCAGAAATAAGCAGTTTGATCAGCTTTAAACATTAGTCTCTTGGGGATAGCAGTCACCCTTCCAGGTCGGCACAATCACTCCTTATCCCACATTCTTTTCAGATATCACACGAAAAACTATCTTTCATCAATGTAGGTAACTGGGACATATCAACTGTTCACATAAATCTAGCAGCATTCAAAAACAGATTGTCTGTATTAAAATAACTTCATCACTTTTTAATAAATTTCCTCTATCTCTACTACCATATTGTGCCTTATGGCTTCCTCATACCTAGATATTTTCATGTGCAGCATAGAATCTGATACATCAGTACGTCAGCTCAAGTTGTCATGACTTATAAGCAAAAAGGGATAAAATTATCGAGACAAATTCCAGTTTGATAACAGCAGTAATAACATGTAGTAGTAGAAGTAGTAGTAGTAGTAGTAGTAGTAGTAGTAGTAGTAGTAGTAGTAGTAGTAGTAGTAGGAGGAGGAGGAGGAGGAGGAGGAGGAGGAGGAGGAGGAGAAGGAGGAGGAGGAGGAGGAGAAGGAGGAGGAGGAGGAGGAGGTGGAGGAGGATAGATTAGGTACTTGCGCAGAAAGAAGTTATAAAGTCATTTGTTACACAGGTTAGGTTCTAAAGCAAAACAAGGAGTGAATGTATATCAGTCTACTTATCTCAATAGATTTATTCAGTTAGAGAGATAAGTAAAGGTGAGTGGAGTGAGGTAAAGTAGCATGCAATTGTCACTATCATAACAAATAACTAACTGATTAAATAAATAAATAAATCAGTGAATTAACCAATCAACAATATATCCACGATTTTGTTGAGTACTTTTGAAGCTCCAATGTTCTGTGTGTTTTTTTCTTCAAACAAATTCAAGTTCGTTTTCATTTCATACTAATAAAATGACTGTGTTATACTTGAGTTGATCTAGAATATTTTCAATATTCAGCAATTGTAGTGCGTTTAACACTTACGGTTATTTCCTTGTTGTCTAACAGTAAATCAACGAGCACTACATATAGAATTTTAATTAATTATCCCTAAAGATTTCGTCGTTTGAATTCATCATCAATCGGTGACGAAATTTCAAATTATTCAACGGTTAGATAGTGTCATTGTCACCGATGAGACTTGACGATAATGGCTACATTTGTTTTAATGTATCTTGATTTTTAATTGTCATCAAAGTAATGTCAACTCAAAAATTTCAGAAATTCTCATTGTGGAAATTAAAACAAGATATCTTAGACGAATAGAGAAAGATGGTTTCTGAATGACGCTCAAATTTCTTCTAAACAAGAATGGGACGAAAATCTATACAAAATATCATGTCAGTGTCCATTCTACAGGACTTCAATGCGATTTCGATCACGAACACGTGACTGACCAGACTACAATGTGCGTATATTTCAGCGACGATAACGAACAATAAGAAATAATAATGTGATAGAAAACATATGACACATCTAACGCTTGTCAGACCATCTACCAGTCTGACTAAGTAAACAACCAATCAGTATTTTTATCAGCTACACATCAGGTTTACGTTTTGAAATTGAGTCAGCTCGCAGCAAGCCTCAGTAATGAGCACTTTTGAGAAGTAATGCCTAGAGTTCTAGTAACAAGCAATGATAAATTTAGTTTGGTTATATCGGGTCCGAGGCAACTACACATCAATATCACTAGATAATGATTTCGTAATGCTGTAAGTTGACTGACTGAGTGACTGCCTTCAGAAGCATCAACTATTAGGTCCCAACTAGTTAGTATAAGGATTTATGTCTCATCATGAAGTCTGAAATTCTTTGAATGATTCATCAGTGTAAAATACTGAACAGTTCAATGCTAGAATGAATGAAATAGCCATTTAATGTTTCTTGATTTTCAATGATTATCTGTCTACAATCAGTTCATCATGTGGATAACATAAACATTTAAACAATTTCTGTAATAAACAAAAAACAAACTAATGCTTACCAATATATTCTAACACTATGCCTTTTCCATGAATAATATATGGATCTAATAAATTTAAATTTGATGTAAACTGTAAACCGTATACATTACTGATTGGACCATAAATTTGCCCAACTAAATATGATTCATCTGGTGGATATAATTTATTATAATCTATTGAATTAAATGAAGAGGATCCAGAGGAGATCGAAGAAGAAGGAGAAGAATAAGATAATGATGAATTGATCATTTTTATTTCTGTTAATTTTGTTTTTGTCTTTGTAGCGATTGTTTTCAATGTGGAATTATTGATTAAACAAAAACGAATTATTGGTATATTGCTAATTGTACCATCATAAACATTAGATATACGAGCATCAACTGATAAATAATCATGACTACATGCATTTCCAGGATTTGATGGACATGCTGATCCAGTAGCTAATATTAAATCATTATTATGATTATTATTATTTAATAATACGGATGACAATGATGAAGAAGCAAGAGCCTATGAAATTCCATCTACAATAGTGTAAAGGAACAAAAGTACAAACAGCATGAAATGTGGTGAATTGTATGGTATTCTGAGGTTTATTTCAATCCACTGAAATCACACTTGATTAGTTCAACTATTAAAAAAGGAATAAACACGTGATGCATGCTACTTATTTTGACAGATTTAAGTAGTATGTAATACCAAAATGAAATAGAGTGCCTGTTAGCAAAAGTTTCAGATTGAATTATGAAAAACAGGGAAGGAAACGGTGAGGAATTAGAATGACAGCCGAATATGTAGAAAGAAGAGGTATGTACATGACAACTGAAGGGTGACTTGCAAATAAAGACTTAATTTGACGGAAGCAGTGTGACATTCGACGGTAAATGGTAAATTGGTTATCCACACATAAGTGTTCGTTCAATGCATTCGAATATTGTGTAATCACTTTTTATTATCAATAGCATTGATTAATACTGACAGTTATTATATTTTCATCAACTGAATGAAATAAATTAAACAGTTACCTTCGAAAGGCTCTACTCGTATTTTGATATCACATACTATGACGTTTTTCTGGTTTTTCAATACAAACATCAAGATGTTTCTACTGTATGGAGCTGAAACCTCGAGAACTATAACAATCATCAACAAAGAAGCACGAGTATTTATAAACAATTGTTTACGTAACATAATAAATGTCCGTTGGCCGTATATCATCAGCAACAGCCAACTGTGCGAGAGAACAAACTAGCTTCTAAATGAAGAGAAAATTAGGAAAAGACACTGGATAAGAAATACATTGCGGGAATCATCAAACTGAATCAGGAGCCGTGTCCTAATTTGCAATGAAAGGGAGGAACACAAGCAGACATCAAAAGAATCAATAGCAACTGGAAATGATTTCTCAGAACAGAGTTTCAGGAAGAATTCTGGTAGGGTGGCCTAAGCTCTTTCAATAGGGTTAACAAGCGTAAATAATGATGACAAACTAGGTTAATTAAATTAATTTTAAATTGAAATTTAATCAAAATATAAAGAATGCCTTTGATGTAAAAACAAACTAAGCCCATATCAACAAATATATATTTGTATATATATTTTGAGTACTAGTAAAAATTTATCATTTAAAGATGATCATTATAACTAATCCATATCAGATATGGAGAAGAGAAACCACTGAAAATTGAGAAGCAGTTAACAGATATTTCATTTCAGGTTGAAACTCTAAAACCGTAATAGACAAAAAGAACTTTATATTTCCCAGTGTGAATTTGTTCCCACATCTATTGAAACAATTGAGCTGGATAACGACATTTTATCTAGTTCATTTAATTAATAATGTCATTATCAAGATTTAACTTGATATATTCATACTTCCCTCAATAGAAAAGAAGACCTTACCATCCATTCAACTTATCCAAGCTACCATGTCTGATTCTATTTTCACCTCACATTATTATCGTACATACAAATTCAACTCTATGCTGCTTACACATATTTCATCCATTAACATAAACATGCACAACTAAACAAACATGTCTCATATAAATCACTTCGACCGCAATCATATAACATTGACCTGATTAGACTTTTTCTGATTAATTGCACTAAATATTCTTACTTTGTTCCTTTATATTAAGTAACTTGAATTCATTTAATGTGGTTATTTATTCTCTGAAGAAGCGACTTACACTGAGTCATAAAACGTCAAAAATTTCAATTTTTCTACCTATTAGGATAATACAAATAAATGATTCTTATTATTAATAGTAGGATGATATAGAATTGACATTGGTATTTTTATAACAGCTGAAGACACGAAAAGTATGATCAGAGATTTATCGAAAAGTTGAACTGAATTATTTGAAAGTTTAATAAATGTCAATTGATTAGTGATTAGTTTACAAATAAATGATAAATGTCACTTAGTAAGAAAGAGAACAACATAAAAATAAAACATTTTAGGTGGATCAGTTTATATGTATAACTCAGTCTGGAACTCCCCTGGGGCTACTGCTGGTCCCAATCCCAGGCAAAGGAGGAGGGTTAGGTATGAGATTAGCGACCTCATCCCGTAGAAAACTAACTCGTTGTTTATATGTATATTTTAGGAATAGAGAAATGAAAGGGCTTGAATACTAAATAAGGCTTAGTATGACGAGAGGAACATTCTGGAAATATATTAGCGATCAAATGAATCAAAATCTATTAAAAAATGAAATACTGGTAATGAGTTATGTAAAATCGTAAATCTTGATCTTGATCTCTACATAGGAATAATGAATAAGAATTGTTTATGTTAAAATTGAAACACTTTCAAATCTACAGTCAATAATTTAACGAGTAATGTATCAAGATAATTGCTTGTGATAGTAGTCGACAATAACCTGTGAGTTACTAATTGTCCTAGATATTGCTAGTCTGTCCTTTAAATCTTCATTTAAAATATGAATTCTTACATTTGAATAGCTATAAGCTGATCACGATTCTAACATCTACATGCCCTATGATAATTTTAACTTTTATTTGATTGGTCGCTTCAAAATTTAGCAAACTTTCCAGGTCAATAGCAAATTATATTTAGGAACATCTGTTTCGTCCGTTTCTTCCTAGTGTGTGAACCTTTAGTAAGGCCCATCCACGAACCCGCCTCGTGGGACTCGAACTCAGGAGCTATCATTTTCGCACCAGGCGCTTAACCAATTAGACCACTGAGCCATCATCCAACGTTGTTAATGTCTAACTTCAACCAACCCAGGAAATTGAGCGAGACATCCCCTATTGTCTTCAATGAATTACTATATCACAACAGACCCGGTTGAACTACACTTGTCACTGCTTCTCACTAGAACTCCAGTTGCTAGTGATCATATGTTGAATAATATCAAAAGGGGTTTTTCGTGCATATTATACTAATTCATTTTTATATTTTGCAAAGACATTGAAAGTTTTATTGTCAAAAGTCCAATCTTCTCTTTCACGAATGTTCAGTCAATGCCGGCTAAATTTATTTGGATCATATACAATGGATCTGTGTTAAGATCACTAAAACTATACACTAAGCACTCTGTTGTATAGTTGGCTATTCATATCCTGCTTATCTATATTCCTTTCAACTACAATCGTCATAATTATAAATATTAATTTGAAATGCTAGTACTCTAAATTCGATAGTAGGAGAGATGTTGAGCAAGTGATAGTCTTAAACTATGAATTAATTCCAATATAGAATTGGTTTGTTAAGAAAAATGAACAAAATTTCTCATATTACTCCAAACATTACTGTTGTATGTTCTTAGGAGGTTTAAGGTAGTTTGCATAAAACACTGCTCAATCTAGGTTTTGTGCTCATTATCATCAAAAAATACTTACAATACTGAAACATTTTATTTTTAATTTGAAGAAGCGTCACCTCATTTCAAGGTCTAAGATGTCACCACTGAGCCATCTGAAGCAAAATTATCTAGGCGAAAATAAGATAGATGGAATTCTACCTAATAATATTGAGATTTAGATAAACGTAGCATTAATCAATACCCGGTGATTAATCGATGTTTTAGTTTCAGGTTATCTGATTATGAAGCATTTTTTATCCAGTCCTCAAAAATTAATTCAATCCATCTTAGTTATTCGACCCACTGAATTCCTCCTACGTACACATGATCGACCGTATCGAATGTTGACACTATTAACAGTAATACATAATTAACGAATGTACCATTGTAGAAAGTCATGGTAAATCTTGTGTTTTATAGTCCGTAGTTATAACTTTAAGCTTCAGCTGGATGAATTAAGTCGTTCAATATGAAATTAAAAAACCTCAATGGAAGATTTTTGACTAATTTAGATAAATATATTCCAACATTCATCAGCTAAGCGATGCACTCAGTACATTTCACGTAACTGAGCATATATAATTTGAATCTATCAGTAAGAGCTTAAAATGAGGACAAACTATTGGTTAAACTCCGCACTCTAATTGACCATTATAACAAGTTATATTTCACAATTATCATAGAGAAGGAAGAAACCTGCTCTCAAAGCTCATTCATAAAGTATTACTTTCCCAAATTATTCCACAAAAAAATCGAAACTCTCCATACGCATTTTTTTCCAATGGTTGACAGGGATTCCAAATTAAGGAGAATCATGAAGCACAGTTCACTTGTATTTTAACAATCTTCTCTTAATTGATGTAAGTACTTACGCTTAAACTAGAATTTCCTGAACTAACCAGTCAATGGATATTAACTTGTAAGAAAATTGAATGACACTTTTTTTACAAATTTAACCACTCATTTAACAAGTACAAATCTGATGGAAACAGATAAACAACTAAGCCGTGACAAACAATGAAAGCTACGTTTTGGAGACGTAATTTCACATAATTCAAGCTTTGTGAAATACTAACATTTCGTTTTCTTTAAATCACTTAGTCCCTTTGATAAATTTCGATAATGCAGTGAGAAGATGAAGTTTATCAGAATTATGTGATAATATATTTGCGCAATACATTTCGAACAATCTGATCACACATATACTTGTTAAGAACATTTATATATGAAAATTAAAAGCTCAACTAGATAGGTTAAGGGTAAGTCATAACAAAGGAAAAATATTAAAGTACACAAAAACAAATGTAATTACCACTCTGAATAGTAAATCAGTACTACCTGGGTAGGTGAAGTGTAAGAACAAATTGTTTTTGAACGCATAAAGGGGGTTTCAATTTTCATATAGCCAAGTCTTCAATAAACCTTAGTATACGTCCTTGAAGGCTTTTGTACAACACAACAAATGCTGATTTGATATCAACCTTATGACCCGTCTCAATCAAATGTTTCGCAACGGATGATGATGGCTGTCTATCCTGTGATCTTTTTTCACCATTGGAATTCATCTGATTCTGCAACCATTTTGGTATATGTTCACCCACCTTTAATTGCAAATCACGATTGCTCCTTTCTACGTACGTGTTTTCACACATACATGTGAATTTATAGACACAATGCGATGGGACAATCGTTTTCGTGCTGTTTGGGCTTTTGGTGAAACATATAGCTTGTCTTTTTGATAATGACAATTTGGGCTGCATAAAATGTCCGGTTAATAGCTAATTTAAGTCTATGTTTCAACATGAGACTATTTGTGTCACCTATGAATGGTAACGTAATATAAACTCACTTTTTGGGTGCCAGAAGCGTCATAAGTCCAGTCATATTGCAACCCCTCCAGTGGTTTATCAACTTCAAAGAGTAATTATTATTGATTAACACATCAGTCAAGAGCTTCATCTCTACTTCAATAGTATCACTAGTACAAACACGATTGATTCTATGGAATAAGCTCTTTATTAAACCGCGTTTTATGTTTTCAATTTTTTTACTTATGATTATCATGTCATCTACATATCGTTTATACAGACCCATCTTCCGAATTGAGTCTCCAACAAAATTTTCCACATATCCCATGAACACGTCAGTTAGCAATGGTCCTAGAGTGCTGTCCATAGCTACACCATCTATTTGTTTGAAGTGTTCACCTTCAAACGTAAATTTTACATTATCTGTACATAAAAATAATAAATCTTTAAGAGGTTAACAGGAAAAAAAGTCAGTGGAAGTTTTTCCGAAGAATTAAAATCACACAAAATATAAATGGTTTTCCTAAGAGGTACATTTGTAAATAAAGTGTTTACATCAAAGGAGCACATTGTCTTTGTCTTTATATTTATATCCTTTAAGTAATTAATAAATTCAAATGAGTCAGTCAAAGAATACTTACAATATTGATTTCTGATAGGGTTTATCCTCAGGTTATTATATGAACCGTAAGTTTCCGTTTGGTGAATGATTAACTGCTATACCCTTTTCTTTTTTAAAGCTGTTGTAATTTAAACGTGACCTCTTGTACCACATATTTTCGACCTTAATGGCCTGTTTGGAGACATAATAGAACTTTTCTAATTGTTAGTGTCTTATCGTTATCGTCAACTTTGCCTTAAGTATTTTGATTATCCAATTATTATTATTATTATTTTGATTATCCAATTATTGTTATTATTATTATTATTCATATTACGTAATCTAGTATTATAACCTTTTTATTAACTGTGTTCACATTTCCTCACGGTGGTCTAGCTTCAACTGACTCATGATTTCAATCTGTGAAAATTTCTAAAAATCTCCACAAAACACACTCTGATAATAATTGTTAGTGTATTTTGGTCGTGTTAGTCATCTACTTAGTCACGTATCTCTTTACACTAATCTGAATCGAGGATCAGGAATAAATTGATCAGTGTTTCAGTTGACTCACTCTCTCTCTCTCCCTCTTGCTTGTCAACCGATCATGTGATAGAATAGTTTTCGCCTTTCTCTATAAGGCCGTTAGTCTCAATTCACACGCGTATACCCAGTTTCAATCTTCAAGTACATTATTGGATAGATAGATCAATGAAGTAAAAAAATCTCTGTACTTAAGTTTTTCAAGACTAATGATGTAACTATTATGTGTACGACGAGGTGTAAGGGGGTTAGGTGGGAATGCATTTCAAGCTTATGCTTGACAAAATGATTGAATTTAAGATAGAAACTATCGAATTTTTGCGCACAATTAAAACGCCATGAAGTACAAATTGTATGCTATCAAAAGATTCAATAAACATATAAAGAATAAAAAATGAATAATTTTCAAAGGTAACAACATCAATGTGTTAGATATTTAAAATCAAAGAATGAAATGCATAAATATTCATTCATATAGTTAAAAAGCATTTTGACAATGTTTATTGAACAATATCAACTCTATTTCTTAAGCCTAAACATGGACATTTTGAGTTTTTTTTCTGTAATCAACTATTCACACTAAGGATTGACTAAGATTGATTTTATTTTCTAAAGTTCCTTTATAAAAATCTCGTTACTACATTATAGTTTCAACGAATTATCCACTCATTCATTGATGTTTATGCAGGAAATGTCTGTTGGCTAGAAACTTGTTATGTAAAAGTAAACACTTCAGAAATAACTCATTCAATAGGTATTCAGCATCTATGTCTAACTTTGTGTTAGCAAACACGATATGCTACTTTGATATGGTGGTCGTGCGTGACTGTCGTAATAAACTAATCTAGCTGTACTGGCTAGAATAATCGTGCCTCAAGGACCTATCATTACAAGCAGATCGATTGAAAGGCGGTAAGACTTAAAGCAGCAAACGTAAGGTCGATGGCGAAGTCAAACTACTGAATGTACAGAGACATGTAAGTAATAAGGCGTTATCATCAAACAATCAGCATAACAACAATGTTGCCTTCCAGCAAGGAAGAGCGAGTTTAGAAAAGATCAACCAAAAACAATCACTCTCGTACTGTACTAAAACAACGACGTCCGACCGGGCTGATCAGCCTTGCGTCCTCATTGGTCCTTTACTCGTCTAGCCCGCCCAGCTCAAATCTAGGACACTAATAACAGCTCCCACTATCCGAACCATTTATTTCAAACATATTTGGTTTATATACCAGCGGAACAGATCGCACTGCACCACAAAATAGGAAAGAACATTCATACACAATAAAGCCAAAAAGTGGCTGTGAACGTGGGAGACTGTAATCAATAGACTGAACGGTGTATTTCCGTCATCTCTGCCTATGCCCCGGTAGATTGCAGCCCGGATGAAACCACACCGATTTCTTCTCACTTTGATAGAACTTTCTAATCCAACACATAACCGACTGTTACTGAGGATCAAACCAAATAATGCTGCCTCGGTTCTAGCGCTTAGTGCGACACCAAAACCAGCAAGACCAGAAGAAGGTGCCTCAGAGTCCTCGGATAAACGCACGTAAAACAAGCTTTTTGAAGCGACAAATGCAGAGCGAATTTGTAGTATTTCATCACATTCTTGAATACAGGTTTCGGATAGACAACAAACATCGATGTTAGGATATTCTAAAGACAGCCAGGTCTATCTGTTGTCTGACCTGCATTAGTGTGAAAACATTGAAGACAGTAAGTTTGAATGGTAGACAGAACCAAGATCTAGTATACTTGCTAGTAATAATTACATAAACATTGGTGCTCGGATGCTGGTTACAACCCATATTTTTACAAATGCAATTACAAGACTTAAATTGCTGGTATGCAAAGACGGTTGTTTTTCAAATTGTCATTTACAGACTGTATTGGATGAGATTCGAAATTCTGAAAGCTTCATTTATTCATTTTAAAAGTCTTTATAAGTAAACAACTTAATTGTTATCCACGGGATAGATGAATTATGGCTATGAGTAAAATATCAACAAAAACAGACCGAATTTCAAGACAACGATGTTAACAATGTGATAACAAAACACCTTTTAATTATAACAACGACAGTCACTGGTCTTGCTGATTAACATTATGTCAGTTACATGACCCAGAGGGTATTTCTATTTTTCATCTAAGTATATGCACAACGTAAGATGGCAGTTTCAGGTTTTAACAACTTACAACTTCTGAAAGCGAAGTTTCGTAAATTTTATTGTAGTGTAGTCACGTCTTAGCACATAAACGGTTGTCATCAGGAGCTATTGAGGTGTAAAAAACACAAACACTTATCTATTTGCTCCAATCTAAACGAATCCATACAAACGTTAAGTACACAAAAATAAATTTTCTACAAAAAAGACAGTTTGACTTATACAGTTTTTTAAGCTGTTCAACTTTAAAGTTAACCACGTTTTAAAGAGGAAGTATTCAGCGCATAAACACTGCTAATAAGCAAGTGTCCGAAGCTCTAATCATTTAAGTGGATACGGAAGATTAACCTAGAGTAGTTGAAAAACCCTGATTCCGAATCAGTGGTGCACATGGGCTCTAGGAACCTCAGGGAACAAAGAGTGTATGAACCTCTTGTTGGCCACCGGCTATCATGTAAATGCGCCTCATAAAGTTGATCCACTTTCTTGTGGGTTAGACCCGTAGGTCAGAGGATCGAAGAGTGGCACGCTTAGGAAACCCCTGTTTCGGTTTGAGTGCCCGATCGGTATTCTAGCCCTCAAACTAACAGAATGATCTGTTTAGCACATATGTACTTTTTGCTTTTTTGTACCAGTGTTTATGTGTTTAAACAAATAAAAATTATGTCACTTTTCATCGGACTGCAATAATGGACCAAACCGCTTCGTAGATACAAATATTCTGAATTATACCCTGGAGACAAGATGAAGCCTTACCATTGAGAAAAATTATTAATATTGATTATTGCTGTTAGTCTTGGTAATTCATAACTATTGGTGGCTACCACACAAGCTCTTGACTTCTTTTCATTTCAAATGGTTGAAAAAATGCTTTGTATCAGGCATTTAGTTCAAAAAATTGATTTTTAACGGCGAAATAAAACGTTCCTTCTAATGACCATTTGATTTATAAACATGCCGTGATGGTATAAACAGAGAACTTGCAAAATATATTTCTGCAAACATTATCAAAGGAATCGCAATACCTACAGAATAAAATAATTTACAAAAATCACTTGATTATGAATGAAATAACGTGTTCCTACAGAAATGTTTACAGTCACATGCTACGAAGTGTTACTAGGTAACGAGTTGAAAATAATAATCATAGATAAAAAAATTCAAACAAGTTCTTTAAATATTTCACAGTAACTGAAGAATGCAAAAAGATCAAGAAAATATTATTGGTTGTGACTATAATTTATTGAAAACCTTTGACAGATACTGAAGGTACCTTGAGACTGAAAACCTACTGACTAAGACTAAATCAAGGTTATAAAGCAGTTAGAATTCTCATATTCACTTGATAAATTGAGTTAAAACCTCGATTTATGGTTTTCGCCACGAACCGACATCAGCTATAATGTGAAAACTATATTTAGTCAAAAGTATGGATCCATTTTGCGCCACAACTCGTCGCTCGTTATTTTATATCTGATTGGTTCGTCAATAAATTATAGTTTCGCCGATTAATGGATTAAAAAACTTATTAACTCCGCTGGGCTTCTAACTGCGGTTCCTAAAACCTTCCAGTCAAATGAGTTGGACCTGTATGACCGTCATGTTGGTGATAAAAATTCTAGTAACTGCATACATTTATCATAGTCTAAATAATAACCGAAATTCGAAGAGATCACATGCATAGAATAGGATGTGGATGAGTCACGTTTTACTAATGAAACTAATTGTGAGCAGAGAGTCAGAGGATCAACAAGAAAGATATAAAACATTCCAGCTATAGACGATACTGTTTCAACCAATTATTGGTTGATCAAATTGTCAGACACCTGTCATATCACAGAAGAAGCCAAAAGTGGTGGATAGGAGAAAGTCAGATGAATAATGAACGGAATCTTTACATACAGAGTGACCAAAACAGCTTCTAAATATATTGAGTCACATTGACCCAACAACTGTGTACACAACTTTGATAGGTTGAGTTTGACATAAGTAGAATTTCATGAAAATAACCAAAATGAGCTTCATGAATAATTATTGTTTTTTCAAAGCCATAATGTATGTGCAGAGACTTGTTATAGCATGACAATTCTCAATCTAAATTTCCGCCGTGATATAACTGTGAGAATGGATAATTACCAGCTGGAGCCTAGAAAATGCAGATAAAGGTCAATACTTGGTATGTAAAGAAAATATCAAGAAGCATACTTCAGATGTTCAGAGTAGCTTCCAATCATGCATTTTGAAATTAAAGGTAGTTCTCCGCTATATCAAAGGTAGTGTATCTATTCTGAATTCATCTGCTCAAAATGTTCTGTTTGGAAGATATCTTCAAAACAAGTTATTCAACGCATCTAGTTGAAATAGTTATTTAATAAAGTTTCCGATATTTCATTATGTTGAAAGGTGTGCGCCAAACACAAAATTCATAAATCAAGGAGTCGCTTGGAAGTTAGACTTTGAAGTTTATTCTGTGAAATTCCTAATTTCATTCCCAACTCAGAGTGTTCAACAGAAAATTGTATTTATATTCACTACCTTATAAGTAGTTGTAGCGATAAATAAATCTCTCAGATCGATAGCTCTGTAGATTTTCGATATTTGATGCTGACCACTTTAGCTCTGATGGACTCACCTAGCTGAAGGCACTTGGTCACGCATCGAGTGTGAACGCCGTGAGCGATTTCTCCTGCAACCGCTAGCCATTTTAGACCAGTCACTTATCGATTTATCGATAACCTCTCGAATATATCTCCACAAATCCCAGCTCCTGACCTTTGATTTCACTGAATGTGGACGATTCACCTAAAAAAGGTGTCACTGGTTAAAGTGTTGTCAAACTACAAATGGTTGTGACAACTTCATAGCCATATATTTATTTTGTGATTTTTGTAGCAATTTGATACTGCCTGTTGTTGAGCTTGCTTTATGTGACATATGATTATTGAGGGTAAATTGTTATGACTTTGATTTAGTTTTACAATTAAATACATTATTCTATCCGGCTGATATCATCCTTCTTGTTCCTCTTCTGAGAACCAGTAGCGGGAAAGGTTGATCTGAGCATTTGCCAATTCCATTGATCTATTAGCTGCCACTCGTTATTGATAGAAATTATTTACCATTCGAACATCCCACATACTTGACTCAACCACATCAAGCTCGAACTTGAAAACGAAATTTCAAACCAAATGCTAATTAATTTATTCTACCATCAATCACCTTGAATTTTTTCGCTTAACGATTAAATATATGGACGTCATAAGTCAGTGTTACTAAGGTTTGCTTTAGTGTCATCTGTTCGCACACGACTGATCATTAGCCAACAATACCAGTAGTGACATAAATCTGCGAAATAATAAAGACTCAGGTTTATTAGAGCCCACTCAGATGAGTGGGCTCAACCCGAGGACTCTCGAAATCAAATAAGTACAAAATTTTTCTATAATAGCGATGGCAAACTGCATGTGAAAGCTATGGGAAAAGTACGGAATTACCACCATTAAAAGAATGTCTGCCTACATAAATTGACTAAAACCTAGAATTAAGACAAATCGGAGGGACAATCCCACCATATCTAAGGAACACTTAAGGAATTACAACAAGAATACTGATGCATTTCGGAGTAGATATGTAGTGTTGTAACAGCATAGGTTGGTTGGTTAAGAGTTGACCCCAAACAACCAAGCATATGTCAAAACAGTATTGTTCAAGTATTCATTCCCTTCCTTATTTTGTGTAAGCGTTATTATTTTATATTGAATGTTGAAAGCTTTTGTTTGTCTGAACAGATAATCCCACGCTCCACTGTGACTGAGCTAAGATCGAAATAAAGACCTATTCACTTCTAGTCTGGCTTCTTCTATCAATAGCACGAGGGTTACCTATAGGCACGAAACTGGTGAGCCCTTTTTGAACACAAATTAACCTCATTTTTGCTATTAATAATATTTTTTTTTACTCAATCGTAAAAGTAGACCTGATTATCCGTAAACTAAGTTGGGTATATAAATAGTTTATTCTTTTTATTATCTTAAGTTATTCGTGTCATAGAAACCATTTTTTTCATGCTAATTTTATTGCTATATTTGTCACATACCTCATGTCAGACTTAAAAGAAACCCATAATCTGGAGGATTTGTCACCAGTGGAGATAGACACTGTTATGACTACGAAATCTCGACTTCCAGAATTTGATCGTAGTGATCCTGAGTTGTGGTTTGCTCAACTAGAGCATTATTTCACGAGACACAATATCAAATCTGAAGGGATTCGCTATAGAGATTTGTGTTCTATCTTTCCTCCTTCAGTCGCCAAAGAAGTCCGTGACTTGATTTTAGATCCACCATCACCACAACCGTACACCATCTTAAGACGAGAGATAATGAACCGTTTATCATTATCAGATAGTCAAAGAATCCAAAGACTTTTTCAAGGTGAAACACTAAGTGATCGGTCGCCGTCACAGTTTCTACGTCACCTCCGAGTCTTAGTGGGTGATAACACAGTGGGTGAAGCAATCCTAAAACAAGGATGGATACAAGCTCTCCCATGCTACGTTCAACACTGTTTGGATGCACAAGATCCTGAAACCTCATTATCTCATTTAGCGCGTATAGCTGATAGAATAATGGAAAGAGGTCCTCCACCTGGATCAGGCACAATAAATCACACACAAAAAGTAGAATCAGCAAAAGACCCCGTCATAGAAGGACTCATTGCGAGTGTTAAGAGTCTCACTGAGGTTGTCACCAGAATGCAAATGGGTCATACAAACAGGAGCAGGTCACCACAACGACCACGATCCAAGTCACAAATGTCCAGACAATCTGGGCAGTTTTGTTGGTACCACTGGAAGTTTGGTGTCAACTCAACCAAGTGCAGGCAACCATGCGCCTGGCCTAAGCATAATTCCAAGACAGCGGGAGACGAGTAACCCCTCCCCAGGTAGCGACAACTGAGGAGGGGCGCCTAAACAGTCGCTTGTTTTATGTCAGAGACAGAAACTCTGGCTTGAATTTCTTGGTGGATACTGGAGCTGCTCTTGGCATCATCCCTCGAAATAAAACTGAGATTAGTCGAGAAACATCCCCGATTACACTTCAAGCTGCAAATAAAACTACAATCGCGACATTTTAGGCAGAAAACGTTAACCCTCGATTTGGGGTTCAGAAGGCAATTCCCTTGGGTTTTCACGGTAGCCGACTTAGATCTGGCAATACTGGGGATGGACTTTCTAGAGAGATACGAATTTCTAGTTGACACCAAGAAACGGCGATTAACACTAAAAGAAACTTCGTTTTGCACAAAAGGCAAAGAAAGTCACATCAGCTCTCTTAACTTGATTCAAACCCCTCCAGTAACAACGGCAAAATTTCAAGATATACTCGCGGAATTTCCAAACTTAACTAAACCAAACCCACAGCCTTCCAAAGACAAACTAAAAGTAAGTCACACGATCAAAACCGAAGGTGCACCGGTGTTTGCAAAACCCAGGAGACTAGCACCAGATAAGCTCAAAATCGCTAGGGCCGAGTTTGATTATATGCTACAACTGGGTATTATCCGTTCCTCTGATAGTCAATGGGCATCCCCTTTGCATATGGTCCCAAAGAAGAATGAAGGTGACTGGCGACCGTGTGGGGATTACAGAGCCCTCAACCGTCAAACTGTACCAGATAGGTACCCAATACCGCATATCCAAGATTTCACAAACGGTTTACAGGGTATGAACATATTCACTAAAATTGACTTAGTCAGGG